ACTTAGCCGTTTGCCTTTTTGGTTCCTTGGCGCGCCTTGGCAGGTTCCTTGGCCGTCATGCTTTTTAGGTTCCTTGCCGATTTGAGAGTTCGCTTGGCTCGTCTGCCTTTTAGGTTCTTGGCCGGAATTGGCAGGTTCCATTGGCTCGTCTGTCCTTTTAGGTTTCTTGGCCGACTTGGCAAGGAGGTTCCTTGGCCGTCTGACCTTTTAGAGTTCCTTGGCCGAGCTTGGCAGGCTTTCCTTGGCCATCACACTGCTCTATGTTAGGTTGCTCCTTGGAGCTGATTCATTAAGGCTCTATGTGTTGCCTCATTACGGGGAGATACCTGTTGTGGGATTGCCGTGTGGCCTGACTTCGGCGGTTCCTTTGGCCGTCTGCCGTTTTAGGTTTTTCGCCTTGGCTTGACTTGGCAGGCTCCTTGGCCGATCTGCCTTTTAGGTTCCTTGCCCGAATTAGCAAGGTTCACTTGGCCGTCTGCCCTTTTAAGGTTACCTTGGGGCCGAGATTTTGGTAGGTATTCCTTTGCCCGTCAGCCTTTTTAGGGTTCCTTGCGCGACTTGCGGGACTCCCTTGGCGTCTGCCTTTTGAGCGCCTCATCTGGCCGCGACTTTGGCGGGTTCCTTGGCCGTCTGCCTTTTAGGTTCCTTGCCGACATGGCAGGTTCCTTGGCCGTCTGCCTTTAGGTTCCTTGGCCGCTTGGGTTAGGATTCTTGGGCGTCTGCCTTTAGGTTCCTTGGCCGCCTTAGGTTCTTAGCCGTCTGCCTTTTAGGTTCCTTTGGCCGACGCCTTTTTTCTTGGCGTTGGCCTTTAGGTTCCTGGCCGACTTGCAGGTCTTAGGCCGTCTGCCTTGAGGGTTCTTGGCTGACTATGAATAGGTATCCTTGGCCGTCTGCCTTATTAGGTTTCCTATGGACGAACTTGGCAGGTTCCTTTGTCGTTGCCTTTTAGGATTCCTTTGGCCGTCTGACCTTTTAGGTCTCACTTAGGCGGCGAACTGTTGAGGTTTTCCTTGTGCCTTGTATCACTGCATTTTAGGTTCTTTGGACTTCGGCGTCTGTCTTTTAGGTTCCATTGCGACTTGGCAAGGTCTTGGCCGGTCTGTCGATTTTAGGGTTCCTTGCGCCGACTTGGCAAGGTTCCTTGGCGCGTCTGCCTTTTAGGTTCCTTGGCCGCACTTGGTATGTTCCTTTGCCGTCTGGCTTGTAGGTTCCTTGGCCTGCTTGGATAGGTTCCTCTGGCCGTCTGCTTTTCAGGTTCTTTGGCCGACCCTGGGTAGGTTCCTAGCCGTCTGACCTTTTAGGTTCCCTTGGCCGACTTGAGGTCAGGTTTTTGTCCGTCTGCTTTATAGGTTCCTTGGCCCGACTTGGCAGTTTCCTTTGGCCGTTACTGCCCTTTTAGGTTCTTTGGCCGGTCTGTCCTTTTAGGTTCCTGGCCGACTTGGCGGGCTCCTTGGGCGCGTCTGCCTTTTAGGTTCCTTGGCCGACTGGCACGGTTCCTTGGCCGTGTGTTTTTTAGGAGTTGCTTGGTCGCTTGGCGGGCTCCTTGGCTGTCTGCTTTTTAGGTTCAGCTTGGCCGACTTCGGTAGGATTTCCGTTTGGCTGAATTGGCCAGTTTTACTTGGCAAGGTAGTTTTAGCTGCCTATTGAATATAGGTTTATGGTCTTGCGCGATTATTATGGCGATGGGGCACGCTCCTTGGGCACATGTGCCTTTGTTAAGGATTTCTTTGGCCGACTCGCCAAGTGTTTCCATTGTCCGTCTGCATTTAGGTGCTCCTTTGGCCGAGCTTGAGGTTTCCTTCGACCGTACTGGCCTTTTAGGTTCCTTGGCCAGACTTCGCAGTTTCCTGCTCCGTCTGGCTTTTAGGGTTCCTTGTGCCGACTTGGCGGGCTTCCTTGGCCGTCCGTACCATATAGTTGAGGGTTTGTGCGCTTGGCCGACTTGGGCGGCGTTGCAGCTTGGCCGCTGCTGCCTTTTAGGATTCCTTGGGGGGACGTCGTGTGGCGGTGCTGGGCCCTTTTAGGGTGTCCTTGGGCCGAACTTGCGGCGCTGCTTGGGCGCGGTCTGCTGTTTAGGATTCTTGGGCCGAGGCGTTGGCAGCGGGTGTGGTCGTTCGGCCGTGCTGCGCTAGGTTTGAGAGGTTCCTATGGCGAGCTTGGGTAGGGTTCCTTAGGGCCGTGCTGCTGTGTTAGCGTTCCTGTGCCGGACTTGGCCGGGTTCCTGTGGGCGCGTCTGCCTTTTAGGTTCGCTTGGCCGTCTGCCTTCTTAAGATTCTTGGCGACTTGGCAGGTTCCTTGCCATTTGGCCTTTTAGGTATCCTTGGCCGACTTGGGGTAGTTCTTTAGCCGTCTGCCTTTTAGGTTCTTGGCCGACTTGGCAGTTTTTCCTTGGCCGTCTGCCTTTTAGGTTGGCCGACTTGGCGGGCAGCGTCTGCTTTTACTTGTCCGACTGTTCTGCGCCCTTTAGGTTCCTTGGCCGACTTGGCAGGTTCCTTGGCCCGTCTGCTTTTAGGTTCCTTGTCCGACTTGGCAAGTTTCCTTGGCCGTCTTCTCTTAGGCTCCTTGGCCGACTTTGCGGGCTCCTGGGGCCGTCTGCCTTTTAGTTTCCTTGGCCGACTTGCAGATTTCTTGGTTCGACTTGGCGGCCCTTGGCGTCTGCCTTTTAGGTTCCTTGGCCGACTTGGCGGGCTCCTTGCCGTTGTCTTTTAGGTTCCTTGGCCGACTTGGCGGGCTCCTAGGCGGCTGCCTTTTAGTTCCTTGTCCGACTTCGGCAGGTTCTTGGCCGTCTGCCTTATAGGTTCCTTGGCCGACTGGCAGGTTCCTTAGCCGTCTGCCTTTTAGGTTCCTTGTCCAACTTGGCAGTTCTTGGCCGTCTGTCTTTTAGGCTCCTTGGCCGACTTGGCGGCTCCTAGGCCGTCTGCCTTTTAGTTTCCCTTGGCCGACTTGGCAGAGACTTGGCGGCTCCTTGGCGTCTGCCTTTTAGGTTCCTTGGCGACTTGGCCTTGGCCGTCTGCCTTTTAGGTTCCTTGGCCGCTTGGCCGCCGTCTGCCTTTTAGGTTCTTTGGCCGTCTGCCTTTAGGTTCCTTGGCCGACTTGGCAGTCTTGGCCGTCTGCCTTTTAGGTTTTTGGCCGTCTGCCTTTTAGGTTCCTTGGCCGACTTGGCAGTCTGCCTTTTAGGTTCTTGGCCAACTTGGTAGGTTCCTTTGGCCGTCTGCCTTTGGCCGTCTGCTTTTAGGTTCCTTGGCCGACTTGGCAGGTTCCTTTTGCCCAGTCTGCCTTTTAGGTTCTTGGCCGACTTGGCAGGTTCCTTGGCCGTCTGCCTTCTTTGGCCGTCTGCCTTTTTAAGTTCCTTGGCCGACTTGAGGTTCCTTGGCCGTCTGCCTTTTGGCCGTCTGCCTTTTAGGTTCCTGGCCGACTTGGCAGGTTCCTTGGCCGTCTGCCTTTTAGGTTCCTTGGCCGACTTGGCAGGTTCCTTGGCCGTCTGCCTTTTAGGTTCTTTGGCCGTCTGCCTTTTAGGTTCCTTGGCCGACTTGGCAGGTTCCTTGGCCGTCTGCCTTTTTAGGTTCCTTGGCCGTCTGCCTTTTAGGTTCCTTGGCCGACTTGGCAGGTTCCTTGGCCGTCTGCCTTTTAGGTTCCTTGGCCGACTTGGCAGGTTCCTTAGCCGTCTGCCTTTTAGGTTCCTTGGCCGACTTGGCAGGTTCTTTGGCCGTCTGCCTTTTAGGTTCCTTGGCCGTCTGCCTTTTAGGTTCCTTGGCCGACTTGGCAGGTTCCTTGGCCGTCTGCCTTTTAGGTTCTTTGGCCGTCTGCCTTTTAGGTTCCTTGGCCGTCTGCCTTTTAGGTTCTTTGGCCGACTTGGCAGGTTCCTTGGCCGTCTGCCTTTTAGGTTCTTGTCCGACTTGGCAGGTTCCTTGGCCGTCAGCCTTTTAGGTTCCTTGCCGTCTGCCTTTTATTTCCTTGGCCGTCTGCCTTATAGGTTCCTTGGCTGAATTGGCAGGTTCTTTGGCCGTCTGCCTTTTAGGTTCCTTGGCCGTCTGCCTTTTAGGTTCCTTGGCCGTCTGCCTTTTAGGTTCCTTGCCGACACTTGGCCGTCTGCCTTTGTTCCTTGCCTTCCTTAGGTTCCTTGGCCGACTTGGCAGGTTCCTTGGCCGTCTGCCTTTTAGGTTCCTTGGCCTTGGCCGTCTGCCTTTTAGGTTCCTTGGCCGACTTGGCAGGTTCCTTGGCCGTCTGCCTTTTAGGTTCCTTTGCAGGTTCCTTGGCCGTCTGCCTTTTAGGTTTCTTGGCCGACCTCCTTGGCCTTTAGGTTCCTGGCCGCTTGGCAGGTTCCTTGGCCGTCTGCCTTTTACTTGGCCGTCTGCCTTTTAGGTTCCTTGGCCGCTTGGCAGGTTCCTTGGCCTCTGCCTTTTAGGTTCCTTGGCCGACTTGGAGGCGTCTGCCTTTTAGGTTCCTTCTGCCTTTTAGGTTCTTTAGGTCCTTGGCCGTCTGCCTTTTAGGTTCCTTGGCCTTGGCTCCTTGGCCGTCTGCCTTTTAGGTTCCTTGGCCGACTTGGCCGTCTGCCTTTTAGGTTCCTTGGCCTTGGTTCCTTGGCCGTCTGCCTTTTAGGTTCCTTGGCCGAATTGGCAGGTTCCTTGGCCGTCTGCCTTTTAGGTTCCTTGGCCGACTTGGTAGGTTCCTTGGCCGTCTGCCTTTTAGGTTCCTTGGCCGACTTTAGGTTCCTTGGCCGTCTGCATTTTAGGTTGGCCGACTTGGCAGGTTTCCTTGGTCTGCCTTTTACTTTTGGCAGGTTCCTTGGCCGTCTGCCTTTTAGGTTCCTTGGCCGACTTGGTAGGTTCCTTGGCCGTCTGCCTTTTAGGTTCCTTGGCCGACTTGGCAGGTTCTTTGGCCGTCTGCCTTTTAGGTTCCTTGGTTCTGCCTTTAGGTTTCCTTGGTTGCCCTTTTAGGTTTTCCTTGGCCCCCTTGGCCGTCTGCCTTTTAGGTTCCTTGGCCGGCTGCCTTTTAGGTTCCTATGGCGCCTTGGCGGGCTCCTTGGCCGTCTGCCTTTTAGGTTTCCTTGGCGTCTGCTTTTTAGGTTCCTTCTTGGGCCGGGCTTGGGGGCTTCCTTGGCCGTCTTGGCCGTCTGCCTTAGGTGCCCTGCGACTTGGCAGGTTTCTTGGCCGTCTGCCTTTTAGGTTCCTATTGGCCGACTTGGTAGGTTCCTTGGCCGTCTGCCTTTTAGGTTGCCTTGGCCGACTTGGTGGGTTGGCCTGCCTTTTAGGTCTTGGCCTCTTGGTAGGTTCCTTGGCCGACTTGGCAGGTTCTTTGTCCGTCTTTTTAGGTCTCCTTGGCCGTCTGCCTTTAGGTTCCTTTGGCGACTTGGCAGGTTCCTTGGCCGTCTGCCTTTTAGGTTCTTTGGCCGTCTGCCTTTTAGGTTCCTTGGCGACTTGGCGGGCTCCTTGGCCGTCTGCCTTTTTTTAGGATATCTGTGGTTCCTTGGCGACTTGGCCGGTTCCTTGGCCGTGTGTTTTTTAGGTTCCTTTAGGTTCGACTTGGCGGGCTCCTTGGCCGTCTGCCCTTTTAGTTCCTTGGCCGACTTGGCAGATTGGCCTTGACGCTTTCCTTGGCCGTCTGCGTTCTTGGCCGACTTGGCGTCTTGGCGTCTGCTTTTAGGTTCCTTGGCCGACTTGGCAGGTTCCTTGCCGTCTGCCTTTTAGGTTCCTTGGCCACTTGGCAGGTTCTTTGTCCGTCTGCCTTTTTAGGTTCCTTGGCCGACTTGGCAGTCCTTGCCGTCTGCCTTTTAGGTTCCTTGGCCGACTTGGCCGTTGCCTTTTAGGTGGCCGTTGCCTTTTGGCCTTGGCGGCTCCCTTGGCCGTCTGCCTTTTAGGTTCCTTGGCCAAATTGGCAGGTTCCTTGGCCGTCTGCCTTTTAGGTTCCTTGGCCGACTTGGCAGGTTCCTTGGCCGTCTGCCTTTTAGGTTCCTTGCCGATTGGCGTTCCTTGGCCGTCTGCCTTTTAGGTTCTTGGCCGACTTGTTCCTGGCCGTCTGCCTTTTAGGTTCCTTGGCCGTCTTGCCAGGTCCTTGGCGGGCTCCTTGGCCGTCTGCCCTTTTAGGTTCCTTGGCCGTCTGCCTTTAGGTTCCTTGGCGTCTGCCTTTTAGGTTCTTTGGCGACTTGGCGGGTTCCTTGGCCCGTCTGCCTTTTAGGTTCCTTGGGCTTGGCGTTCCTTGGCCGTCTGCCTTTTAGGTTCCTTGGGCTGCCTTTTTAGGTTCCTTGGCCGACTTGGCGGCCTCCTTGGCCGTCTGCCTTTTAGGTTCCTTGGCCGACTTTTACTTGGCGTCTGCCTTTTAGTTCCTTTTCGCTTTGGCCGTCTGCCTTTTAGGTTCCTTGGCCGACTTGGCAGGTTCCTTGGCCGTCTGCCTTTTAGGTTCCTTGGCCGACTTGGCAGGTTCCTTGGCCGTCTGCCTTTTTAGGTTCCTTTCTGCTTGGCCGACTTGGCTGGTTCCTTGCCGTCTGCCTTTTAGGTCCTTGGCCGACTTGCCTTTGCCGGTCTTTTTCTAGGTTCCTTGGCCACTTGGCAGGGTTCCTGGCCGGTCTGCCTTTTAGGTTCCTTGGCCGACTTGGCAGGTTCCTTGGCGTCTGCCTTTGTAGTTCCTTGCCGACTTGGCAGGTTCCTTGGCCGTCTGCCTTTTAGGGTTCCTTGGGCCAAATTGGCAGGTCCTTGGCCGTTGGCCCTTTTAGGTCCTTGGCCGACTTGGCGGCCCGTGGCCGTCTGCCTTTTAGTTCCTTTGACCGAATTGGCAGTTCCTTGGCCGTCTGCTTTTAGGTTGGCCCTTGGCCGCTGCCGTTTGCCTTTTAGGTTCCTTGGCCTGACTTGGCAGGTTCCTTGGCCGTCTGCCTTTTAGGTTCCTTGGCTCCTTGCCAGGTTCCTTTTATCGTCTTGCCCTTTTAAGGTTCCTTTGTCAGATTCTCCTTTTTGGTTCCTGGCCGTTAGTTCCTGGCGACTGGCCTGGCCAGGTCCCTTTGTTCTTTTGGCCGGTTCCGTTGCTGCCTTTTAGGTTCTTTGGCCGTCTGCCTTTTAGGTCTGCCCTTGGCCGACTTGGCAGGTTCCTTGGCCGTCTGCCTTTAAGCGTGCCTTTTAGGTTCCTTGGCCCTTGGCACTTGGGCAGCCGTCTCCTTGGCCGTCTGCTCTTTTAGGTTTCCTTGCCGACTTGATGGGCCTCCTTGGCGTCTGCCTTCCTTAGGTTCCTTGCCGAATGGGCAGGTTCCTTGGCCGTCTGCCTTTAGGTTCCTTGCCGACTTGGCAGGTGTTTTTCTTTTTTTTTTGCCTTTTTAGGGTTCCTTGGCCGAACTTGGCAGGTCCTTGGCCGTGCTGCCTTTATAGGTTCTTTGGCGTCTGCTTTAGGTTCTTGGCCGACTTTGG